GATAATCACAATATAACAACATTTTAAAAAGTGTCACTAAATGAAACTTACGCTAAGTCTATTTATGATACTGTTTTTATCGTCTTGGTTGACATCTGACCAATGTTCACAATTCAGAGAAACGATCGACCGAACCCATACCCCAATTTGAGAGACCAATTTCAAACTATGGCTACAAACTGGCTTGTCATCTTCTTCTTCGATATTAATTTCTATCAGACCATGATCTTGGACATGTTTATCAACATTCAGCCCTTCAGTGTTATGTCTACCTTTTCTTTTAGTCGTGCCAGAACCTACACGAAAGATATCATATATTTACATATTTAAGTTTAACTTGGAATAAAAAAAGATTTCTATTTAAATATCATACTCTGTGTTGTTTGACTAGCCTCTCCTGGTTGAGTGTTTTCTATTCTATCGACATTGCTTGTGTAACTTTGTCGGTTTCCTGGTCCAAGATTTGAAGACGACATCCTGCATAATAATGGACAAAATCAAACTGTAATTAATAATAGGTCGAAATAGAAAAACAGTGTACCATCTATAACCATCTATAAATATGCATGTAATATTTCGTCTTTGTACCATCTATAACGAATATTAATCGATGTATAACCATCAAATACATTAATTCTACCTTTTCTTGAACTTGTATCATATCATTCACATTTCAAAAGAATCACTGACTTTAGATGAATATATTATAACCTAATTACTTCATGCAACACGCCATAAAAATTTATTTGTCCGATTCATCATCTCCAGGCACCATCACGCCACTATTTTGTGTAACTCGACCACTATCACGCTCTTTTGAATGGAATCGAATTCCATTGGCTATACACCCAGTGTAAGATCGAACACAGTCGTTCAGGCCAATTGCTAGGACATATAATGCATCAGAAATCCCTTTTTCACGATACAATACTTGAGCCTAGTCAAAGAGTTTAATTTATAGTTAAAATAATTGAGAGAATAGAGTTGTCATTCTAAAAAGTACCAACTTACTTTTTTTTAAACCAAATAGGAAATTCTAATTGTTGTCTCATGTGCAAATCACCATGACCGTTTGATTGGAGAAGACTCATATGCTCCCTAAACATTAAACATATTTTAATTTCATCATAATGTCAAAATCTAGTATTAGAGTTGTACTAGAATAGATACGCACTCAAGGTAAGGTTCCACTTCAACACAGTTGTTTAGTATATACCAATGTGCTTTTTCTAACTCATCAGAAGTCAAGCGTTTAAATTGGTTACCACCCAATAGTCGTACACGTCCAGAAAAAACCGATAGCTCACTATTGTTCTCCACATCCTCGACGTTATCATAATTACGCTCACTCCTATTGAATCTTGTTTCAATCCCATGTAAATACATAGAACAAAAAGTTAAAGATTCATTTATGATGTAAGCTTATGCAATTGAACCTTCAGGTCGAGCTTTGTTTCTAACATATTGCTTCAAATATCGCAGACTCCTAATACAAAAATCGTGAAGAATGACTCAGGACTTAAAATCAA